TGTTTATATATCATGAACTATCTATATGCTAGAGGGGGGTGGCAATCCAGGCTTCCCACCTGGACTTTACTAAAGGTGCTACAGGGAGTGGGGAAGGTGACTATTAACACTCAATAGGATGAAAGTACTAACTTCATACTCAGCTTTCTCTGACAATACCCTGGTGCGTGATGGGAGGAGTTAGCAAGATGAGAGTGGAAGTCTATACTCTCCACTTGGCCTCTGTGGCACCTGGCTGGAGAAGAGTGGTTATTTCCTAAGGTTTTATCTTGTTGGTGGTCCCTTTCCTGTTTTTTTTTTTTTGGGGGGGGGGGGGTGTTTGTGTGTGTGTGCGTGTGTGTGTTGGCTAGAAAATAGGCTTTTGTTGGGGCTTTTTAAAACTTCTGTACCTGTCAACATTTCTGGGTTACCAGCTTCTCCAGCTCCAAGACTGGAACATATGAGGCAAAAAGAAAACCCAGGTACCTTACAATCATGTCATTCTTTGGATCCAAAGTTCCCTAGGCAATCAGACTGACTTTCTTCATCTTCTGGAGTCTTGTTGTGTTTGTATAATCTCCAGATTTTTAGGAATATATAGTGGGAGCAATGGGGAAAAGTGGATCTACTCTGTATTTCCAAAAACAGAAATCACTGAACATTTTTCCAATTGATTCTGACCAATCTCTCTCTTTTATTGGTGTGCTTAGACTATTTGCACTTAATGTAATCATTGATGTATCAGGGTTTAATTCTAAGGTGATATTATTTGTTTTCAGATTGTCCCATTTGTTTTCCATTCCACTGTTTTCCCTTTTCCTTTTTTATATTACTTTAACAATTTTTAGTATTCCATTCTAATGTATCTATTTGCTCTTTCACTATATCTGTATACTTTTTTATTGGTTACTATAGGGATTACATACCTCATTTTTCACAGTCTACTTAGACTCAATACTTGAACACTTCAAGAGGAAAGTAAGATGCTTACCCTCATACAGGTCTCTTTGCCCTCCTCCCTTTATGTTGTAGTTACTTTAGATATTACATTTGCATACTTTGAAAACCCTGAACAATGTTATTTTTTTCAACCATCAAACATATTTTGAAGACAAAAAAGAAAGAGTCTACTAGAGGTATCAGCAATTTTTTTCAGTGGAGAGACGGATAATAAATATTTTTGGCTTTTCAAGCCATACGGTGTGGGAGCAGTGATTAGGAATTGCCATGTGGAATCTTCTGGAATGTGGGCAGCATTCTATTTCTTGACCTGGTTGGGGGTTACACAGGAGTTCACTTTGTAGTAACCCAACAACTATACCTTTTGTTTTATACACTTAACTTTTGTTAGTAACTCATTGACCTACCTTTGTCTTGTGCATCTAATTTTGTATGTATTATACCTACCAGTGAAAGTAATTTTAAATAGATCAAAGAGCTTGAAAAAAATAAATCAGAGACCTTGGGGTTGGATTATCAGAAATAAAGGGGGTAAATCAAGTGCATGGGATTTATTGTTCCCATTGGCCCTTCCTTCTTTGAACAAAATTGATACATGAGGAAATATTTACAGTTTGTCCCCAGTGCTCGGGTACTAAGAATATCTATTTAATGCAAGCCACTGAGATGGGAACTGCTCGTGGAGCTGGAAGTTTAAAAATGGACTTGTGAAAAAAATGAGATTAGAGGCAGATCGATTACATTAGATGAATATTCTAAGTGAATAACAGACAAAAGGAGTAAGAGAAGATAGGGAAAGATGGAAAGACATTCTTTAGTGAGAAAGTCAACATTACAAATTCTCGATATTTTTCCTAGGGAAGGCATGAAGAGAAGAAGGTTGAAGAGAAGGTAGCTAAAAGGGAGAGAGGACAGCAGTGGGAGGGAAATAGAAAAGAAAAGGCTAAAGGAATAGAAAGATGAGGAGGGAGAAAGAGGAGAAAAGGAATGAAGGGAAGTAGGAAGGATGAACTAAAGAAAGGAAGACACAAGAAAGAAATGTGTGCGTGAATGATACATATCGGGCACCTGGTACAAGTCAGGCATTTTACCCACATAATATCATTTAAACATCACATGCCCTCTAAGGTGGACATTATCTTTCCTATTTTATAAATTAGGAAGCAAAAGCCCTGAAAATTTATTTTATTCAAAGAAACACACCTAGAAACATCAACCCTAGCTGCATGTAATGCCAAATTCTGTGCTCTAGGAACCCATTTAATTCCAACTGGGAGGATTCCCTTATGGGAAGTAAATGCTTGAGTTCTAGAAATAATTACTCTAGAAGGTGTCTTTGTCCTAATAAGAAGTAGAAAATGTTTGATGTTCTGAAACCTAAATCTATATCCTATAATTCTATGGCATCAGGTCATTTATGTCGAATACTTACTGCTATCACTGACATCTAATTCTGCCTTACTATTATTAAGAGGCATTTTCAAAGAATCTAGTACTTTCTGGAGAGAAACCAGTATAGTACTAGTGACAAACAATGCCTTACTTTATGAGAAAATGGGCACAAAACATATTCCATGGTCCAGCTTATAGTATTTGTCAGCTAGGAAGGAATGCCAGAGAGATATGGGGTGGTACAGACACTCCTAAAACTCAAGATTATCAAGTTACCTGAATTTCTTTAGGCTAAGCAGAGAGCAGTGGCAAATTATCAAAGAGACCTCAGAAGAAAATCATCTTATTTTGACAAAATTATGTGAAGAACTGTGGACTTTGTGTATACCACAAATTGGGGGATGGGGGGAGTACCTTAGAATACTTTCAAAAAGTATTACTCATTAATTCTTTCACTTCCATTCAAAGTTATTTAGCACTTAGTGTGGGACAAAAAAAGGGTGGGTAAAGGAAAAGGGAAAGGGATAATTCACATGTATTGAGACTAGGATAGGGAACATGTCAGACCCTGCCAGGCTACTTTATATAGCACAGCTCTGGATATTCGTTATAGTCCCAAAAAGGCATAAAAATTAAACCAAGCTACCTCCAAGGAATAATTAGAAGTGAAAATCGATATAGAGAAAATGGCTCATATTCTCCTCATTGATTTCCTGTGCACAGTGAGTCAAACTTGACTGTTGGTTAGAAGTCGGTTTGGCTACTTCTTATTACTTTTTCAGCAGCTGGGTACTCCTGTCAGTGCCTTTCATGCTGAAGGCTTTCGTTGCTCTAATCACAGCTGTCAGCTATCGAACGAGTTTGACACCCTGACTCCAGAAATGAGGGGATTCACACTCCATGCATATGCAGTCAGCTCCTTCATTAAAGTTGATTGACATAAAAGAAACGGTGCACTGCCACTGATTTTTATAAGCAAAACAAATGGCTACACAATCAAGTAGGGATCTCCTTGATCAGAAACACCCAGAGAGCCCCAAACAGCCAGGATCACTGTAAATACCTATACTTCTAGTACCTAAGAGGTAGACATAGGCAATCAGTCAAGAGCCAGATCTGTGTACGTACATACGTATGTGTGTACACACACACACACACACGCACACACACAACACCCCCCCACCCAGGCTTCTCCCCCACAAACTTAGCTGTCCATTCTGAATCATCTTGGTTGGCCTTCTAAGTGTTGAGTGAGAAAGTAGTCTAGTTAGCTATTGTGACCTGGATTTTTGAGAAGAATGAAGTTTCTTGGAGGAATAAAAGGAGGATGAGTGACCAGAATCTCCTCAGAGTATTTCCATACATAATTTAATGTCATAAAATGAAAGCCTCCGAGTTCAAATGGATTATCTAACCCAAAATTGCCAAAAAGTTCTAAATTCCTTAAGAGCATCCCTGTGAAGGGCCCATTCAGATTCTAGTTGCCACTCCTAGCAATAAGGATGCCTTGTTTAGTGTGAGGCTGCTTTCAGGAAATAGGATCCCAAACGTAATCAGTATTATGGAAAGTCATCACAGCCTAGTCCCTACGGGGATTCTTTCCCAACCTAAAACTTGTATCGATTGTCAGTCTGCCTTCTTCAAACCGCAGGACTTTATGCCTCCAGACGCAAAATTTTCCTGCCATACATCATACAACAGTTGGTCTCTGCCTCCCAGGCTACAAAGATATTATCAATGCCCTTCAGAAGGTCAAGTGACTTCTGACTATCCCTAATTGATCTTTAACTTATTGCCGCCATCAGTTTAATACCCAGTGAAATGCTCCTTCTAAGGCAATTTATAGAGCATCCATCATTACCACCTGCAATTTTTCAGTGACTCAGAACTGTTGACAAATAATGACCACGAAAGTAAGATTCTAATGGCTTCAACAAAAATTCTGGTAAGTAGCAACTCTTCCCCTGAGTGAAGAGCAGTGCTACACTAGATGAGAACGTAATATGTAACACGGCGCTTACACTGCTGTTTTGGGGTGGGAGATAACAAACATATGTATGATTACACTATTCGATGTTGACATATTCTTTAATTTAAAAAAAAAAATTTTTTTTTCACTATCCGTGTAGGTTGAGGGAACAAACTTTATCAGCGCTGCACAAGGAAGCATACCGAGTGTCACTGAGTCTATTACCAACTATCGAAAGGGGCCCAAACCCAGGGTCACAGGGACCCTCCCCTGTGTACGCTCCACAGCAGGTATCCCACTTGCGGTATTGCTTCCTTTGTAGCATTTTGTCTGTCACCGAGCTCCAAGATACCCTGCGCCCTGGGGAGAGCCTGGCACGTGGTCGGTGGTTTTGAATGAGGAAGTGACTGTTACATTAACGCGTACCTCAAGGAATGAGTGAATGAATAGACGAACGAATGACCTGGAGCCCAGCCCGTGCCCCACTGGGCTCCTCGGCCTCCTTCCCCGCGGGCGTGGGTGAAACCCAGGTGAGCGCTGGGGACCAAGAGCTCCAAACTCAGACTACGGCGGCCGGAAGGACCCAGGCCAGTTCAGGGCGGAAAAGCCCTCTCCAGCTGCTGCCCGACCTTTGCGCACGCAGGCGCGGGCACCTACGCTTCCGGGGAGGTCACTTCCTCCCCCGTCTCTTAGCAACGACTGGAAGCGTTATTGACGTCCAAGGCAGCGGTAGCGCCGGACTGAACCCAGAGTTTCTCCGCCAGCGCGATGGTAAATCTGGGATCTCCGTCCACGACCCACTGCTCCAAGGGCGCCGACCCGCGTGGGCCTTCGCTGCCCTCCTCCCGAGGTCGATCCAGGCCGGGCCGGGGCCGGGGCCGCGGCGAAGGCGAGGGGCTCCATAAATTTTTTGGAAGGGTGACCGGGAGACCCTAGAGGGACGAGGGGACGACCATCAAGGCAGAGGAGAAGATGTCTAGATGGGGAAGCTACCCCGGGGCGTAGAGATCTGGGGAGGGGGGTGATTTCTGAAGGTAGTAATTGGTGAGAGGGGATATCGAGAAAGAAGAGAGATATTGAGGAGATGAAAGAGCCTGTGGGGAATAAGGGATCTCTACTGCGAGGAAAGTGTGGAAAAGGGAGGAGCAAGATGGAAAGAAAAATCACCCTGAAATGGAAGAAAGAGATGGGACAGGGAGCGCAAGGCAATGGAGAAAGGGGAGAAGGAGGAGATATTGCGAGAGAAGAAAAGCAAGAGAAAGAAGAAAAGAGGGAAGGGAGGAGAGAGACTTGGGAGGGAGAAAGGAAGGGAGGGAGGAGGGGGAAAGTGGAGACTGGGGAAAGTTTGAAGAAGAGTAAGGTAGGAATTTTTAAAGGGAAGAAAAGAAGATAGGGATCAAGAGATTGTAGCAGGAGGGCGCAGAAATCACGAAAAGAGAAAACAGTTGGGAAAAGAGAAGGAAAGGCTGGGAAGAGCAGAGAGGCTTTCGGGAGAGAAGTAAAAGAGAAAAGGATAAACGAGGACAGTGATTGTAAGGAGCTGAGGATTTGTCTTAGAAACGGGCAAAAAAAAAAAAAAGTGATAAATCCCCTCTACAGCTATTATGCTTTAAGTGCAAGGTTTCCCAAAGTGAGATGCAAACATTAGTTGCTGCTACTTGAGACGGCTCAGAAACACCAAATAACGCAGAGTAAATCACATTTGAGAATGTATTCCTCTTTCATTTCATTTTCTTTTCAGTCTTTTGACCATATCCAGGTGAAAGTTTCTGGCAATACTAGGTCGTTACACTGCTATCATTTCGCAATTTCAGTTTTTCACTGAAGAACAGACCTCAGGCTCAGAGATTTCATTAGGGTAAAATGTATTATATTCCCCCTTTTTTCTTGGTTATTTCTGTTTATGACTAACAATACCAGATTTCCATTTCTGGTAGTGATGTATAGTTTCCTTGGAAAATGCATTCATTTAAGCTCTTAGAAATGATATAATGTAAAGAACATTCTAGGTAAATAATATAGATGGTATTCCTAATGCCAAAAGTTGTGAATCTAGTACATACATGCCTGAAATTCAGAAAACACCTGTACAGTCGTAACAAAAGAAATAAGTTATCTTGCCCACATTAGGTGCAAAAGAAAACTGTCTTGCCTAAGTAACTTAATGTTCATCTGTATGACGTTGGGAAGGAAAAAATATCACCAACCCTCATCAAGAGACTTGAAAGAATAATGTTTGAATTCAGAATATCCAGTGATTACTCAGTTATAAACGATATGCAGGTTTGAAAATGGCTGTTCTTAATTTTAGCATTTGTAGAAGGAAAGAAAATCACCACAAAATAGTTTATACATAAAATTCATTCAGAAAACTGAGTTTAAAATCCTATAATGGGGTTCCAACATATTCGTGGTTGAACATTCAGTTTGCACTTGGAACCAGGCCATAGTTACCAAAAGATTCTTTAAATCCTGGAATATGTTTTTACAGAATATCCTGAATTTAATCATCTGAACTCCCAAATAGGTAACATTTTGGACTGAAAATAAGATTTCTCATTAACAGATGCTTTTAAACAGAGAGTGGCAATGGTACAGCTCTATAAATATTAAAATACTATAATGTAGAAGGGGAATTTTTCATACCAATACAGGAAGATCAATGAGTGAAAGACAGTCAAGAGAAGATTTCTGTCCAATGTAAAGAATACTTTGCCAGTAAATAAAGACAGATAGAAATGGAGTGAGCTCTTGTGAGGTAATAAGTGTTCTAACTGTAAAAGAGTTCAAGCCAAGTGATTTGTCAAGGTTGTCAGTCGGGGATCCTACTCTTAGAGGCTTGTATGTTGGACTTGGCAATTTCAAAGCTCTCTTCCAAAAATCTGAGATTATAGCATCCAGTCCCTTACGTTAAAGAGGTGGGTGAGTAGGGATCTTTCCAAATGTTATTCTGTTTAGGACTGGGCTAACCACAAAGACCCTTTTGGTTAATTGTTATTCTGATCTCCAACAGGCAGAGGTGGAGGAAACCCTAAAGAGGATACAGAACCATAAAGGGGTTATCGGAACAATGGTTGTAAATGCAGAAGGTAAATATATCACGAGCTGCCTTCTTGACCTCTGCAGAGGCCAACCAAGTTGCTGTTTGTGCCACGCCTTACGACAAGCCTTTTAGAATTTGTAATCAAGAGCATAGTTTGTATATTTTAGCTATAGCCTGTATTTATCAAACACCTATTGAGTATTACATGCCAAGCACTCTGCTAAGAACTAGGGATATAAACATAAATAAGGCATGTCTTAAAATGTCTATATATTGCTAAGAAACACTATATATTGTCTAATTTTGAAAGCTTTGATAACTCTCTTCCATTATTTCAGGAATACCAATAAGACTTTTATATTAAAGAATATTATTGTTGGCAGTTTGTGTTTGCTTTAACATTATTACTGAGTTTCATTCTTCATTTGAAATGAAATCATTCCTTTACCATATGTAATGAAACCTTTTAAAATTAATTATAATTTATACTGTAGTCTTTGTGGTTATAGTATAAGAAGGACAGATATATTTCTACCTATGAAATCTGTATACTTATACCAGAAACTTGCTCTCACTCCATAGTCCCTATTAATACAAAGCATTTCTCTGGCACATTGCTTGCCACATACTCAGCTATGGTGGCAACCACTTAGGGGCTCTTGCCCAATTGCCTCTTGTAGCACCTCTTGCCCTTACTAATTCAGGCATTCATAAGGGCAAGAGGTGCAGCAAATCCCAGAGTATCAGTCAAAATAAGAGTAGTTACTTCATATAACCCACCATACAAGGATGGAATTGGCACATTGCCCACTCAGTGCTTGGCAACAGAATTTCACAGCTAATCACTATTTTGGAGCAAATCCATCAATATTTATTGATGGCTTTAAAACTGAAACAATTTAAAGTCTGTTTAAACTCTGACCTTCAATCCTTTATTATTAAAAATGGAAAATAACCTACTTTATTGATGGTTGTAATAAGTGAAATAGTAATTGTCTAGTGCCTGGCACAATACCCAACACTTAATAGAATTATAAATAAATAGTTCTGAGAATGTGGGAATTTTTTAATTGATTTGTACAGATAAAACATTGGATGTGCTTTACAAAATAAAATTAAACATAACTCAACATCAAATTAATATAATAAATACACCCAGTTTGAGTGATCAGGAGGAGATGGATTTAAGATGAGCTCTACAGGTAAGTCAAGATCTATGCCTAATATTTCCAGGAAGAAATCCAGCCCTAGAGCATGGTTCTGACTGTATTTATTTTAGGTCCATGTATTTGCATAAACTCTGACAATACCCCCCAAAATGGGTTCTTTGTCACTTCACAGAGGTGCTATATTCTTTTCCTTTGGCTGCCATAACAAAGTATCACACACCTAATGGCTTTAAAAAAATGAGTTATTGTCTCAGTTCTGGAGGCTAGAAGTTGAAATCAAGGTGTGAGCAGGGCCAAACTGTCTTCAAAGGCTCTGCAGGACAACCTACCTTGCCTGTTGTTCCAGCTTCTGGTGGTTTCCAGCAATGTTGGCATTCCTTGGCTTGTGGACGCATCCCTCCACTCTCTGCCTCCATTGTCATCTCCATGTTTCTGTTTTCTCTTCTTACTGACATCAGTCATTGGATTAGGTCCACCCTTATCCAGTGTGACCCGATCTTAACTAGTTATATCTACAAAGACACTATTTCCAAATAAGGTCACAGTCTGAGGTTTAGGGTAGACCTGAATTGGGGGGAGGAGGGGTCACTATTCAGCCCAGTACAGGTGCCTTTACCTGTGACATCCAGGATGACTCATCTAATGTGTTATTTTGGAAGGTCTTAGTTTAAAGTACATAATCCTAGCAATATGCATGAAATGTCTGAAAAATGTCAATCCTAGGAATTTATCCTAAGAAGTGATGAAGGAAACATTTTGGTAAGAAGGATACTCGCTGAGGCATTGTATAGAATAGCAATAAATAAAGAGACAAATAAGTAAATAAATCTATCCCAACAATAGGGGAAATTTTAAATTAATTATGTAATCTTTACTTGATAAACTATTGATCTATTTAAAATATGGAAGAATATTCAGAGTCATGGAAAACTACTCACGATATTAGATGAAAGAAGTCAAGGAACATAGCAGTATCCAGCATTTTCCAGTAAAAAATATAACCATGCACACATATACACTTAAATATGGAAGAAAAGGGCAAGATATGTTATGGTGATTATATGAGTGGTGGAATTAAAAGTGATTTTTATGTTATTTTCCTGAGGTTTCTCAGCACTTTTGTCATCCAAGGCAACAAAATATTATTTTTAAGACCTATTAACTTCTAATTAACCTCTACAGGGATTAGACTGTGTTAGGATTCAGGGCACTTTTCTGAAATCCAAATTAATCTTTTCCCCAAAAATATAAATGAGGGGCTTTTTTTATGGTCAGATTATTAATAACCAGAGTGTATGACAAGGATGTTTATTAATAGCATGTAGGATAAGTTATGTGACCAGAATGTAATAAAATACTCAATTTCAACAGCCAATTCAATTTCAGATGAAAGAGCCATTTATAATAGTGCAGCTTTGTAGCTTTCAGAAGTCCCATGAAATTGGATACTGAAAATATTTAACTAAGATGGTGTTTATATGTTCTTGTTCTCTGCTAGTAGTGTTAGTCCACTAATTCTAGGCAAATCATTTTAATGTATTTTCAGGTTTTATTTGTGATTAGGTAAGCCTTCTACCATGTCTATACAGTTACACCTCTTTATATGCCATGCTAAATAGAGTTTTTTGGTTTCACTGTTATTGAAACATAGACCTCCTATTCATGACAATAAAGTAGACATCAGTTTAGCCCAATGGTGAATGATATACATTTTTATTAGAAAATATTTTTGTTAACATTGGTTTCCCATTTATAAAACCTTTCATTATTTGCAATATAATAGCACTGAACATTGAGTTAGATATTGATGAATATATTGTGTGTGTGTGTGTGTGTGTGTCCCAGGCAGTCATATCTGTCATAGATTCTTATGTATACAAGCCTTTTTTCTGTAGGTTCTTAATTTTAAATATTCTTGACATTTCTAACAATCTATTCTTTGAATTTCATTAGGTTTTATCAGCCATCTAGCTAACTCTCTTTATTTTTGAAATATAATCTATCAACCAAAGTACAAATGTACAGTGGAAAAGTACCAGCTTACTAAGATAAGTCATTTTAAAGTAGTGCCCTAAATTCAGCAATATCAGATTCATACACTTTGTTCTAGAAGTTTCATTTTAGGAAACATATATGCAAACATGAAATGGCATGTCCAAAGACATATTCTGTAGTCTTGTTTATAAAAGCCAAAGATTTGGAACAGCCTAAATACCTGTCAGGAGTATGTATTAGTTATATGTATTACAAAGCATCCATTTGGCAGTCATGTTACGTAGTCATTATGAATGATCTAGCCTATGTGTACTGAATGGAACCATTTCTGAAGTGCACTAAATGAAAAAAAAATTTAAGTGCAGAATAGAGAATGATTCAACTGAAGAATTCAAACACAAACATGCCTGAATAGACTTAGAGTACTTCTGGAGGAATACCAAAGAAATGGGGAGAAGTGGTTACCCCTCAGAAGAGGAAGTGGGTAAATTTTACACCGTGTGCTAAAATTACTTGTTAATAAATTATTTTTTAATTACCTTTCATGTTACCAAGCACGAGCTCCACAAATATTTGTTGATTTTTTTTCCAAGTGTCTACAGGGGCTATGAAAAACTCCAAGACTTTCCACAGTGTGTACTTACTATGCAGAAAGGCTAGCTGTTTTATTTATTGACTTGGATCATGAATAGACTGACTAAATAGGCCTGAGCATCTGATTCATAATCTTGTCATCTACATTTTAAATAATTTATTCTGGTTGTATTTCTTGTTTTGACACTGAGCAATGCAGACTTTGCAGGTAGTCACTGTTTGGGATGCAAAATAAAACCATTCGTCAAAAAGTGCTCTTACAAGGTTGAGTGCTTGCTTCATTTCACTCTTCTACTTGTTAAAGACACATGCCTTTTGATGTTTCATCAGGTTTGAAAGACAAAACTGACTTCTGGGGGGAAAGTAGCCGACAAATAATATGAAAATTAACAAGTTTATATAAAACCTTATTTATTGTGTGGGTTTTCCTGTAAATATTGTCCTTGTATTGTTTGGCAGGACCTGTTCTAGAGACAATAATTTTCTTAAAAAAAAAAAAAAGCAACCAGTCTGTTTCAAAGTCAGAATTGAGGCTCTCAAAGAGTTTCATGAAACACTGTAAAAGCCCAAGTTTGCGATGCTGTCCCACTCTTGAAGTCCTCATCTTGTGTAATAGTTCTGAAGTTACCTTCTCTGAGGGGACACCAAGAGCCACAGTAGCCTTTTATACTGATTGGCCGCAATTCAGGTGCTAGAAGAATCTAACAGTGATCCCCAATTCACCTTTATATGTCCCCCTAAATTAAAGACACATTTGCAAATCAAATCCCTGGAATTCCCTGGCTATGTGATAGTTCTCAAAATAATGTGAAGGCCATTTCTGATTAGATGCAATATATGCAAAATACCTAGCACAGCACCTGTTACTTAATAAGCACTAAGAATTGAGTGACCCGAATTAAGCTAGACTGATTTGAACCGAATTGAATTATACTTGCATATTTGTCTGGCTAGATTCTTCCAGTTAAATTAATAGGCTCTGTTTTAAATGTGAATCATGGAGCAATAGAGCACACAAGTAGCCAAATTTAATAATGCTTAAACCAAAAATGAGTGCAAACCAGGAAATGCCTAGCAAGACTACAGTGTCTTTGTTGCTGTGTTTTCTAATATAAAATTTAAGGTTTACTAAATACTGCATGTTACAAAGAAATTTTGAAAATCCCTTTTGATATACTCTCTAGTATGTGCAGTGATACTGCTTTCTAATTCTGGCTTTGGGAGAAATCTAGAGCAGACCAAGCATTGCACAGCAGACTCACTGTAGACAGGACACCCGGGGGAACACATTTTTGTCTAGTAATGTGTTCACTTAGTACTGAACTAATCAGTTAACAACTACCAAAAGACTGGTGCACAAGAACATTTATCATGCCATTAGCAACAAGGACAAAAACACGATAACTAACAATCCAACAATAGGGATTGATTATGATAGATCCATAAAGTAGTAAATGTATAGCCATTCAAAATAATATTGATGACATTGTCACCAACAAGGACTTGTATGCTGTCATTTAAATGCAAAAAGGATTCATCAAATTTGTAATTATACTTTGACCCATATTTTTTTTTAAGTCCATGTAGAGATGAGATAATTGTAAGAAAATAAACCAAAATTGTCACTGGCAGGTAATACCAGCCATCACTTTTTCTTCCTCCTAACAATTACAAGCATTTCCCATATTTCTACAACATTCATATTACCTGTATAATCAGAAAAAGAAATTTTACCCCAAAATTAAATTACATAACAGGCATCCCAATCCGAACAACCTTGGACAACTCGACGACAGTTCAGTACGCGGGCCTTCTTCACCAGCTGACAATGAAAGCCAAGAGCACAGTCCGTGACATTGATCCTCAGAATGACCTCACCTTCCTTAGGATCAGGTCAAAGAAGCATGAAATCATGGTAGCTCCAGGTAACTTGGCATTTCATTTCATATTTACAGCATCTCTCTACTTCACTATATGTAGGCTTTGTTTCAAAGGACAAGGAGTATAGATTTTAACTTTATTGTTGACACTATTACAGATAGATTTTAATATGTGATATTACACATAATGTTCTTTACTTACAAAATTTCAAGTCTGAAAATTCCAACTTCAAAATTTTGTGACATCAGTGATGAATTTGACCTTTGAAGAAGTTGAATTTTTCTCACTTGCATTTATTATTAGTAATCAAAAAAATGTAAGAGATACAGGTCTCATGCTGGGTGAACTTAACACACAGATTTTCTGGAGAATGAGCAAAATGTCTCCTGTCCACAGGATAAGCTAGGGAGTGGATCAAAGTGGGGTTTTTTTAAATTTATTTATGTATTTATTCATTTATTTTATTTATTTTAGGAAGAGGGGAAGGAAGAGAGAAAGAGAAACATCTATGTGTAATAGATACATATATTGGTTGCCTCTCACATGCCCCAAACTGGGGACCTGGCCAGCAACCCAGGCATGTGCCCTGACTGGGAATTGAACTGGTAACCTCTCGGTTCACAGGCCAGGACTCAATCCACTGAGCCACACCAGCTAGGGTGGCCTGTAGAGTCTTAAATTCCCCCTGTGGGAGCTCACAGTCACCTGGCCTACCAAGAGACAGCAGCCACCCAAATACTTCTCCCCACAAAGGAATTACTTTTACAGTGTTGGTAGATGTCAGTGTGAAACAGGACTCATGCTCCTAAATCTAATCTAGAATAAACTTCTCTATAGTAGTTCTGTAAAATCAGAATTACCCATAAACTAAATAAAGCTTTTTCTACACCTGTGTTCTCACCCTGGCTGCACAGTGAAATCACTTGGAGAGCTTTATAGAAATAATGATTGATACCTGGACTCCACCCCAAACCAATGAAATCAGAATCTCTGGGGCTGGGCCCCAGGTAATGGTATTTTTTAAAAGCTTGACAGATCATTCTGATGTGGAACTGGGGTAGAAAACCAATGGTCTACACAAGGTCCAAGTGATGTTTCAAAAAGAAAAGCAGATTAGCTGAAGTATTTGTTTATTATATTTAATTTTTAGAGATTGGTTAATTTTTCCCATATCTTTCCACAGATAAGGAATATCTTCTGATTGTCATTCAGAATCCATGTGAATAGCTTTGCTACAACCAAGTCCACCCTGTGACACTGGGCTGAAAACACTTCACTCTTTAATGATGACTTAAGATTCTATTCCAATATAACTGATCCTTTGGACATTCTTTTCTATTTTTTACATATATGCTATTGTACACTTCTCATTTAGTCCCCTTTGAATGTATTATCAAGTTGTGCTTTAGCTATATAATAAATAAATTCTGGTAGGTGTGTCTCTTTCCTTACAATACACAAAGTGAAGGAGTCTAATGTGTGGACAGCCTTCCTTAACGATAGCTCTTTTAGTCTAGAAGTTAGCTGTCACCAAGAATCAGTAGAGAGGTGTAATTGTGCCCATGTGTTAACATGCCAAGGAGATTCAGTGGCACTGTGGGAGCTACCAGGGAAGTCAACCCTCCAGGAGTGTTAGGTGCTTTCCCAGGTTCAATAAAGACAGTAAGAGATCAGAGGGTGGTTCTCAGCCAGGCCAGCACTTCAGCTGAGCACCGCCTCCCATTCCTTGCAAAATTCTGCAGAATTGTGCTTCTGTCACACTTGCCTGAGGGGACCAGGAGCTGGTCTTGGACAAGGGTGCATACTTTAAAGTCTGACTAGGTAACTCCAGAAAGTTTTGTTTTTACTAAGTATTTCAAACATTCAGAAAATAATGAAAATCACATAATACAACAGATTTCAAAGACCCATATAGAACAGATATTAATAATTTGCCATATTCACCTTACATCCTCTCTTTTTTAAATCAAGCTTTTTTATTTTGAGATAACTGAGGATTCACATCAAATTGTAAGAAATAAAGTAGAAATCCTCTGGACCTTTTACCCAGGTTCCCACTATGGCAACATCTTTCAAAATTATTACACAATATCACAAGCAGGAAATGGATACCGATTCAGTCTGGATACAGAATATTTCCATCCCCATCAGGGTCCCTCATGCTGCCCTTTACTAACAATCCACCAGCCCCTGACCCCTGGCAACCACTAATCTGTTCTTTTTCTGTAATTCTGTCATATCAAGAAGATTATATAAATGGAATAATACAGTATATAGCCTTTTGGAATTGACTTTTTTAGCTCAGCATAATTCCTTTGAGATTCATTCAAAAAATAAGAAATGAAACATCCCAGATACAGCCGCAGCCTGCTCCTACTCTGTGTGCCTCTGTCCTCTCCTTCCGCAGAGGACTCTTATTAGAAGGCAGAAGTCACTCTGCATGGGGGTCCACAGGAGCCCACACCTGAGTTCCCGAAATGCCTCCACAACAAGCCAAGTGTGAGGAATGGTGCACAGTAGGTTTACTAGTTCAACCAAAGCCACGGCCCTAGTTTGCATCCTATGAGGCTACCACTGGCTAACCCAGGCAGATAGTAGTCTGAGCAGAAAGGAAGGGCTGAGGCTAACCTCTCAGGTTGAAGGGGTTTACTCTCCAAGTAGTGAGGAGAGAGAAGGCAGATTACAGATGGAATTCACCTGAGGCTGAGAGAGACCATGGAGGCTGCAGCCACACAGCCAAGGCTATCCACGCAACAGATGTCTGTGCCCCCCTGCAGGGCCAGTGCTCCTGGGGACGGGGCCCACAATGCATATTTGGAATATGCTCTCCAGGGAATTGCAATAACCTCCAGGCTGAGATCAACTCAATGATAATCAAGAACAAAGGTTTGGGAGTCCTGGGTTGTTGTTATTCTGGCTCTGCCATTTGCAAGCAAGGTTTGCTGTTTAGAATCAGATGAGCTGGTGCACAGTGAGTGCTCAACAAGTGTTAGCTTCTGCAGCTGCCTCCAGTGTTACTCAAAGGAGAGTGGCCCACGGCATTCAAATGTGAGTTCCCGGAACAGCCCTGAGCTTCCCCGTATCATCAAAGGCAGCTGAGCCCTAGGTTTACAGAGATAACAGAACAAATGAGGAAATGAACTTAAGTTACAATAGCAGTGAGTTCTTCTTAACTTTTGGGGGTTGAATAAACATGAAAGAAAGATTATAGGAACAGAGAACCTATACTATAGCACATTTTTTTTACTTTTGAACAATTTTCTTACCCCTGTTACTTTAAAAACTTCAGACTTGTGAGAGTAGAAGGAATAACACAATCAACACCCACATAAGCTTCACTCACATTCACCAACTTTTAATGTTTTACAATTGCTTCATCTCTGTGTCTATGTATTTATACATAATAACCCCAATTTCATTCTTAAGAAATTCAATATTGGCACAGTATCATCTAAGAGACAGTCATACACAAATTCCCCCCAGTAGTTCCAGTATGTCTTTTATGTGTTTTTTAAATTCAGAATCCTTTCGAGGGTCCCATGTTGCATTTGGTTGTCATGTCACAACTAGAGTTGTGTTTTTAGAACCTCTTTTTCTCTCTTCTTTACCTCCAGGTGGTGTCAAGTTTGTATTTGCTCTCCCTAGAGTCCCCAGTGCCACCTACTCCCTGTCCCCTTAGAGCCCCTCCTGATGAGCAGAGACAGCCGGTAAATAGAGGAAATTCACAACGAGCAGGTCTTAGTCACAGGTGAGGGCTTCCCTTCCTTCTGTGCTGTGACTCGGAGACCAGACATATCACCATGGACCCAACCTCATCCTTCAGCCCAGGGAGGTCTGGGTACCATATACCCACTCCCTCAGAGACAGTTTTAGCATCTGCTGACAGTTTCCAACATAGACAAGATCTTGTTAGACTCCAAACAGCAAGGAAATGCATTACTGTGGAATAAGACCACAGAGATCACCTATCCGACCCCTTGGATTTACAGGTGAAGGTTTCACCTGAGCCTGCAGTCAGACATCTCTCGGGAATCAGTTTTGTGGGTTTGTATTGAACTAGTCATGCCTATGAATTGATGCTTATGATCTTATCAGAGGACTCATGCTCTTTTGAGACTCCCTTCATACCCTTCAAAAAATTGTTTTCAGGAGGCGCATATTAGCTCATTGTTATAAAATGTACCAGAGATAACATTTGATTCCAATACCTAAATCTGTCTCCTCCCCACAGTTCCCCAGCCCACCCAGAGCTCATGGGCAGATGAATGGCTGAGTGGTAATGCCACTTCCTTCCTCCTGGCCCAGCCAGAATTTCAAGCCCCATTTGAGAGTAACAGTGGGAAATCTCTGGCAGGTGCAGAGGACATCACTGCAAGTGCCAGGGCTCTGTGTGGGTTCTTCTGGGGAAATACAACCCTCCCATCCTACTGGGCAGTGAGTTCTGCTGTGGTCCTGCCTGCACTTTTGCATCCAGAGGAAACTGTAAACCCTTTGTTGGAGACAGAGAAGGTGGCGGCAAAAAGTAGAAGTTGCCAGAGTCAATTACATCAGAGGATGATAAGACCTTTGGGAATTTGTACCACCCCTCTCTGCCTTCCAACACGCACACATGGATATTCCCTCTCAGATTCACAACAACATAGCTAATTAGCTCTATTTAAAAGATGCCTGGACCTAAAGATTTACACCCATACAAAACAATTGGTAAAGCTCTCGTTTCCTTTGAGAAGTGCAAGGCTGGGCTCACAGGTATCTCCCCTTCAGGTCTAACTTGGTAGGAATTTGACCTGAATGACAGAAGAGCTATTTGCAGAACCTCTGGAGGAACATACCCCAACTATACATATTAATGATAATGAACCTGGAAAGGCCAGCTTAATAAAACAGCTAAAATGTATTCATGCATTATTATCATTATAAACTCCGAAAACTTCATCACCAAAGAGGAGCACCCAGTAGCGGATGGGCAAGAGCCTGCCCAGCGCTCCAGCAGATGCCTGCCTCCTGCAGCCCGTTTTAGTGAGTACGTTCTGGCTTTCTCCTTCAAAAGCAAAACTTACCACAGACTAAACTTGGATTTTCTCCCTTTTTGGTTTTTGACAAATTACAATAGTCCCCAAAATGTCTTTGACATGGGGTGAAACATCCTTGCTCCTCTGACGTTAGAGCATAATGTAATGTCCTTGAATAGAAAGCTATAGCATGATCAGGGGAATTAGCCACAGATATTCATTCAATCAATGAATATTTGGTCTTACATTCTCTGTTTTCAGAAAAGCAGGTCATGTTTGGGACCATAGCAGAGCTTTTAGAAAGGTGGTGACATCTCCAACCATGAGCCTGACCGAAGGTAAACTGCTGTCTCGAATCCTGGGAATTACGGGACTAGAGCTCCCTTATTATGAAATCACCTCTAATAATGAAAACTGGAAACTCAGACTTCCCTGGGGCACATTGGAATATTTCTATTTAATATTTGCAATATTTAATGTTACTAAAACTTCTCTGTATCTTTCTTACACAAGATTTGACATAGAGGGTTGGGTTTACCAGGTACTCAGCCATTCCTTGAACAGAGAAGACTGAACTTTCTGACTGCCTCCTGGGCTCTTACTCTGAGAAACCTCCATTCCTTATTTCCCTTCACCAGACATGTCCTCAGGACTCGCTCTCTACGTGTCATTAACCTTGACCTGTCTGACTGCACGTTTTTAAAATCGTCCTTCCTTGGTCAACTTGACAACATGAGACACAATCCAGTGAATGCAGCAGAAAGAGCATGAGACCCAGGGTCTGAGTCAGCTGCTTGACTACCATCAGGGGGCACAACTTCTTCAAACCTCGGTTCACTTGCCTACAAATGTGAAGAATGCCCACCCACAGTGGCCCTGCATTCTGAAGTAGGCAATGCAGAATAGATGCCAATTATCATTAATAATGGCAATGGCAACAAAATAAACCAAATTTACCAGAATCTAAGGCATTAAATACATCTCACTCTGGCCTCTTCTAATTTAACCATATACATAAACAGATTGAAGGACTTGTAACCCTGCTGGGTTACACAATTTTATTTCCTTTAGTTATCATTTGAATGAGAATTTCCATGATCCTACCTAGGGTTTATATTGGATTTTCTTAAAATCTGTATGCATTTTCATCAAATTTGTCCGTGGTGACCTGGCCTGGATGAGGCCATCGAGAGATGCTTCCTTGGTATTTAATATTGGAAGAGAGTCAGAGAGCCAGTCTCCATGTGGCCAGACTTACGTGCAAAAGCACAGCTGTTGGGGATGGACATTTTCCACAAGGGAGTAGCAGAGAGGCCAGCCCACAGAAGGACAGAATACAGAGCAAGGGAAGGATGTTCATTCCATAGGTTCTCTGTAGGTTCTCAG